TGACACAACAGGTTAAAACCAAATAAAAACAGGCAAAAGATAATAAATAATTATTCTACTTCGTAAAGAACTGACACTTAAAAGGGCAGAGAGCAAAAAAAAGTAAAAGGGAAGATCTTAGTACTTAGCACAGATGCAGCCGAAAATCCTTCTGCAAGTGCTGAAATATATTTGTTATTAAATTACTAATGCTTAAGTATTTCAAAATATATTGTCAATGCAGCCAAGTCTGAAATGCGTTGTACAGACATACAGCTTTCTGTTAATATAACAAGGCATTGTAGAAAATTAAAATAGTATTTGATTTTAATGTATATCAATAACTTCTGAGGTTAACTCTATTCTTCCCCATTTTTGTATCATACTAAAAATATTATTAGGACCTTTAGCATCCCCTTGTGGTCATAAAACTGCTTTATAAACAATGTCTAGAACAATTACAGCGAGTTTTGTTTCTTTTAAACTAAAGAATTCTTTTTGTGTACAGCAATTACATTTAGTGCCACATTTTCACAATCACTAGAAGAATTTTTAGAAGAGTATCAGAAGAAAAATAAACTTACAAGCATGAGAAACCTTAACATTTCAAAACCTGTTATAAAGCACATGACAGTAACTAGAAAGATTTCCTTTGGTGGATACTGACTTGTGAAACATGGCCTTGATGGAGAACATATCTAGAATAGTTATCATGTTTAGAAATTTCAGTTGGTAAATAGTAAACTATTAACTGTCACCAGGCCATGCATCAGAAGGTAGTTAACTGTGAAACGTGGCAAGTGAACCCTGTTAGCAATTTTTTTTACAATTACAGACAGTTTATAACCTTATTATCAAATATATTATTAAAACACACCCTAGCCTCTTACTAAATTAACTCCAGTTTGTTTTTTTTCCTCATAAAGATTAACATGAAATTTGTTCGTCTGTTTTATTTAGTTCTGATCTTCATCTCCTTATCCTGTCTGGCTTTCATTGATGTTTGAGAACTAAGAAACCACAGAACTTTGCAGGGTGTATCAAGCAGAACTGAACTTCAAGGTGCCTGTGAACCATCAACCTCCCTTGGAATAAATGCTGAAATTAAGGCAGAAGGCAGCAATTTGTCCCTGGAAAACTAACCTACCTTCTTGTGTCCTGAGCACATGTTCTAAATAAAAACTGTACTGTCTCAGTACTCCAACCTTAAGTCAGAATATTTGCTAATTCTGCTTGCTAAACTCGACATACTTCAGGTCTAGATGTCACCTGTTTAGCACCATATAGCACTTGTGAACAAACATTCATTCTCACTGGCACGAGCTGAAACTGGTGAATTCCCAGCAAATCAAACAGGATCTCAACTTGGCCACAGAGAAAAGAAAGAACACAACCAGCAGCTACCTGTGAAAACCATACAGGATAGCTTTATACCCTTACACAATGGTGCTAGCCTAGGTAGAAGGTTTGAAATGAAAGCTACCTGGCAGAAAAGGACCTGGGGTTGTTGGTCAACAGCCAGGTGACCATGAGCCAGCAGTGTGCCCAGGTGGCCAGGAAGGCCAATGGTATCCAACAGGTCTTATGAGAAAAGGAGGCTGAGGGGAGACCTCAATTCTACAACTTCCTTAAAGGAGGTTGTAGTGAGGTGGAGGTTGGGTTTTTTGTCCCAAGAAACAAGCAATATGAGAAGAAAAAATGCCCTCAGGTTGTATCAGGGGAGGTTTAGATTGGACATTAGGAAAAAATTGTTCACTGAAAGGCTTATCAGGCACTGGAACAGGCTGCCCTGGGAAGTGGCTGAGTCACCATCCCTGGAAATATTTCAAGGATGTGCAGACATGGTGCTTAGGGACATGGTTTAGTGGTGGACTTGGCAGTGCTAAGTTAACAGTTCGACTTGATATCTTAAAGGTCTTTTCCACCCAAAATTATTCTATGATTCTACACACAGAATGGAGCAACTGATGGGCCTGCAAATCATAACTTGAAACTCGTGTAATGCATTTTTGAGTCTGGGTGTATGAACAAAGCAATAATGCAGCTATTTTATAAACAGGACAGAGAACATTAAAAAAAGAACAGACAATTAAGAAAGTCACCTCTTTCCACAGAGCAAAGGGTTGATTACATGACATTAAGATCTTCAAGTCAACATTTTATACTGAAATCAAAGGCATCTGCATTACAGGAATTGCAGCAGCCTAACTCTACCTAAATCAGGTGCAATGAGATTAATTCCTTCTCCCTGGAAAAGGATCTACACTCAGATTCATCCTCTGCAAAACCAGCTAACTGATAGTGAAGGTGCAGAAAAAAACTATAAAAATTAAATTGCAATTTTAATACATTAAAGACAAAATAAAAAGCTCTGCTCCCACCTGGTGGCAAAAAATAGTAAAGAAACAGTAGGTCTAGAAAGTTAACTTAAAGCTGAAGCAACTTGGACAAGATAAAACCTTTCATCTATGGCAAGCAGTTCTAGTTTTATGGTTAAAATTCATGACTAAATGACTGATGGCTTAAGATTTTAAGAGTGCAACATACTCCACGTGTATGGGTTCATACAAACCATAATCACCTGCTTATGCACATTTTTGTAATACAGTCAACTGCATTTGTGACATTTAAGTGAAAAATACACAGAAACAAACTGACAGGTTTCATCTCAGCAGACAATTTTAAGTAATAAAACCATTACTAAATAAGAAAAAGAAGATGAGAAGCAGGAATATACTTCTGGGTATTCTGAACAGAAATGTCCAGGTCATGTTCTGATTAGAGTCGAAAACTTTAACTTGAAGCTGTCATACACAAAATGCTGTTGTAAATTAGCTTGCAGCATAAACAGGATTTTCCACAAGCCTTTTCACATACAGACTATGTCCCCAGATTTCAAGTAATTATTCCTGTTCCAATACTCATGAGTCAGTGACACAAAATGCAACCAACTGGGTATTTTTCTTCATGCTTTCTGGATGTATCTGCAAAAATGATCTCATGCACATTTCATGTTACAATCACAAATAGGACGGGGCCAAGGGGCAAAGCTTTTGTATCACACATTGCCTTTCCTGTTGTCCCCCTCTGGACAGTTTCTTATGGTTATCTTGAACAGGCAATAACTAGCATTGTGTCTGTATAAAATAATATTATTTATAATGGTTCAGGATACTTCTTCAAAATTGGAAAGATACACCTCTTAAACAGCAAATCAATAAATACTAGAATTTCTGAAGCAGAACCTATGTAGATGTTACACTTAAGTTACTGCAGGGGTCCAGGAACTTCGATGCTCCTTTGACATAAATATATTAACACTCTTCTTTTCTTGCAATGGAATTGCATTACAAGATTATAAATACTGGACAATACAACGCACCATTTTCATAACAAACATTTCTAATGTGTTTTCCCTACTACAGCAGCACACAGCTGACTGCAACCAGCCTATTTAAAATCACAGATCACTTAACATACTGTTTGACAAGCAGTAACAGTTTTACCGCATCTGGGATAATGACACCATAATGTCTCCTTGGAATGTTTACTCAGGGGGGTACAAAACTAGCTTGTTTAAATGACATCTTTCATAGCAATGTTTGAACAGTTATGCTAAGAACACTAACAGAGGAATCTTCTCTATCAATACTGCACACTCCTGTTTACAAGCAGATTTAATACCCTTCCAGTGTAACATCCACTCGTGTGTATTAACTATACCTGCAATCTTTATGGCTACAGGATCCTCTGAAACTGGAACAGGTCCCTCTTTGACTTCAACTTGTTTTTCAGGGACCAGAGTAGATGTGGCAGGAGGGGTATACTTAGTCTCAACATAGACCACAGATGTGGAAGCAGAGGGCTTGGAATTGTGAAAAAGACTAGCCCATGACTTTGCAGGCTGATTAACAGGGACTGATCCTGCAACAGGGACTGTTGCCTCAGTAGTAGGTGAAGCTTCCTCAGCCTTAGCTTGGTCTGAGTCAGTGCTTTCCACAGTGTGCAATTCTACCCCATTGGCAGCTGTCCCCTCACCAGAGGATTCAAGTGTTTGTCCATTAGTTACGCCAAGATTTTCAGTAGTATCAGTACCAGCATAAGACTGTACAACAGCTGTCCTTAAAGGGCTATCTCTGCCAGTCTCTGAGGGGATGCAAAACTGTTCAGAATTAGTAACACGGCATACCTCAGGCTGCCCTGCAGTCCTGGTATTGTCTAGTGCGCTAGAAACAGAATCCTCAGAGACAGCTTCATGAATGAAGTCCACAGAATTGTCCGGGCTGTTGCAAGTCCTTGGTGTGGCCAGGGAGGGCACATCTCCCGTCAGTTCCGTATCCTCCATGCTCAGACTGTTTAGTCCCGAGGAATTTGCATGGCCATTTACAAGAGCTTCTGTGGGAGCGATGCCATCGCTGACATCTTCCAAGTAACTGTAGTATCCAGGAGGTCTTTTTTTCTTTTTTTTACGTTCCCTTTGCCCAAGGCCTCCAGCCAAGCCATCGTTTTCTGCGTTGGAACCGCTGTCCAAAGCGAGGGTTGGGTCAGTGAACTGGCAGTCAATGGAGTTGTAGTTTGTTTCACTGAGAGCATCGTCAGGGGTTTTCTGAGCAGGTGCACAACTGAGAATGAATTCTGGAGCCTGAGGATTCAGAGTACTTGAAATACTGTAGTCGGTGTTATTTAGCACAGATGACTGTGTCTCAATAACTTCATTAACACCAAATTCAATTCTCTGGTACTCTTCCCCTGGACAAGAGAAAACAAACCTCAGTTAATTAATGACTTCTAACTAAAAAGCTAAAAACAAAATAAAAAAACCCTTCCCATATTTTCTACCAACTCAGAAAAAAAGAAGTACAGTCTTTCAAACTAAAATAATTCTTATTCCATATCTCAATCCTGAAGGCCATTTCAAAATACAGTTTTCCTTAAGACAACAGAGTGTGATACAGGTTTTCTTAATCAGAGTAAGTAGTTTTCCAAATCACTGCAGAGTTCCTGTAGATAACACCTATTAAATTCACCTAATAAAAAACATTTCTAAAAACCAATGACTTTGGCAACCTTCTGCATTAACTACTGCATAATTGCATATAAAATATGGTGTCATAATTAACTTCACACTTCTAAAGCCAGTCTTTTTCACTAACAATTAAAAAACCCCAGTGTTTACCTGCTTAAATTGTAAAAGTAACGTCCACGTGTGGGGTTTGGTTTTCAGAAAGTTTGGCTTGGTTTTCCTAGTGTGTAAAGATTTATCATAATCCTTAATAATTGGAAAATTATTTGCACTAATTGTACTGAATACTGCAATCACAGCTTTTGAAACTGTAGGCTCATCAATAACTTAATTTCATCACAGCTGAATTTATTACTCTACAAGAATATTGTGTGTATATATATGACTTTATGACAAGGAATAAAACATATGCCTCAACAAGTCAGTGTTCGACTTGTAAATACAAGCAGTACTGAAAAATTTATGAACAGGATGGCGTTTGGGGTTTGTTGGTTTTGTTTTGGTTTTTTTGTTGGGGTTTATTTATTTACTCATTTACCCTGGGACTTTGACTTGCTCTTTAAAGAAATACTAAGAAATATTCTCATGACAGGCTGCAGTATCACAGAACATTGTCAGTCACAAAGTACTGCAATTTCATGGAATTTATAATGCAGGCAGATCATTGAATTGAATACAACTGAATACATCACACTTACATACATACTTACACAGTTCCACAGCTATCAAAAAAGGAGAAAATTAATGAAACTGAGTCTCAGGAATTTAAAGGTAAGCTCACGTTTTAGTACTTGAAGTTTTGTAGGTGTCTCTTTGATATATATATATTGCAGTTTCAAAAACCATCAATGTTGATCTTTTCTGTTTCCTCTAAGATGGGGGGCTAAAAAGCACACCTGTTCTAAGACTGTTACTAGAGAAAGAAAAACACTAGATACTATTTCCAAAGGAATATAAGTGGATACACCATTAAGCTTTGAAGATTTAGTGCAACTTGCATTACGCATGACACGTCCACAAATCTAAATTTTCAAGTATGCCATAGACACTCGTTAAAAAGGAAGTGTTTTCTTGTGGTTCATGGCTTTGGGTTTTTTTAAACACAACAAAAAACAAGTAATAATTCCTAAGGAAAAATCTATTCACAAACCTAAGGAAATAATCCTATGGGAGGCCAGAGTCTAGCGGACAGTATTTTGTTACACACCTGTCAAGATAATTGTTTTGAAACTCTCCAGATACTTTCTAGGATAGTCCATCAATGAAAATTTTAGCTTTAAAAAATACGTCAAAAACCCAAGAATCTACAGTGTACATAAACAAACATTTAGTGTGTGTTGAGGTGTGTCTTACACATGTGATACCAATGTATTATGAATTAATGAAGATACAGAATACAGATGTTAAGTGATTTTCTGCTTTGATCTATTAACCTAAGTAAATGAGAAGCAAACACACTCACACATCATTTTCATCTTGCTACAAGTCAGACTGGAGGAAACTTAAAAAAACTGAGATAAAAACTCTCCATATGCATCTGATTTCTTGAAATCACATTTAACAAAAGCCTGAATTTCAAGTTTTCTTCACCTCTCCCCTACACCCATGAGAAAGCACTTTATAACACCATGCCTGTCAAGCCACCACTCAGCAACCACTTCTGCAATCACTGACCAGAAAAGAGGGCTTAAGGTTTTTTTAAAAAGTCAGCAGCCTAGAGGCAGGGAGGTAGGAAGCTGCTGCCTGACATCCACTTAAGAGGGAAGAGCAGGGAGATCTCGGGCATCACCTAACTGGTTAGCAGCAACATTAACTGGTGATCAGTGCTAGACACTGCCTGACCTGCCAGGACACAGAGCTCAAATCAAGCCACAGCTTTATTTGCTTGCAAATACAGGGCATGGGGTTTTTGTATTCCTCATTAGTTCATCTACTTAGGGAACAACTTGTTAGTTCAAGCATGAACCAAGAGGTAGGCTTGTTGCCATTTGTAATAGTAAAAAGCAGAAGCAACACTGGTAACACCTAATATTCCTCCAGCCAGGTAAGAATTAATCATTTGGTGCATTTCCAAAATAACCTGGAACTTTTGTTTCGTTTCCAAAATCCCAGTTAAAAACCTAATTGCTTTGAAGCAAAGAATGTGGTTTCCCTTCATGGGCGAGTTAAGTCTAGCTCAGCCAAAAGTGAGAGTTCTCACTTCTGCACTCATGTCCTGCTCCTCTGATCTCCAGCAGGCTTGATGCACTTGTGTTACTGAAAGCTAACCTAGCAAAAACCCCAAACAATCCAAGGGAGTATTTTTCCTTCTGTTTTGGTGAATTTAACAGCTTACTGTACACTAGAAAATCACAAGAGCCAACACAGGACAAGTGGGGAGCAGAAAACAAAAAATATCTCTTATAATTATGGCACATTGGTATTGTAGCTGAAGATGCAACATGGACACTGTAGGCCAAAATCTTGCCATGTGCATAACTGATATTCTAGCATTTAACATACAAATTAGGAATATCCAGCAAAGGAATTAAAACTTTAAATCTCACAGCAGGATTACAATAATCAACACCAGGAGCTACTGTATATAGTTAGTCTATGGGATGACTGGCAGAAGCTCATTTGCCATAAGAACGGGTCATGTTCTTTTGAAAACAAACAAGTAATTTTTTCTATTTGTTTATAGTTTCCACTTTGCTTCTGGGCTTGTTTCAATCTAGTTCACAGTGCTATTCCTGAACGGACTGAAGCAGATCTGTCTGTCATGAGCAACACACCACACATATTGAAACAAGTATCAACAGATGCTCCAAGGACAAAGTCTGTGTACAGTAACAAAAGCTGTGAATACACGGAACTAATTAGTCTGATCAGAATTATATTAGAGCTTCAGCAGGGATTTGATTATTCCTAGTAAGTATTAAAAGATCTTCTAATTCTGTAATAGTTACATACCAAAGATAAGTATAGGGAAAAAATTAGACTACAAGGGAATGACAACATAGTCAGTGTGTGAAATCTCATTAAAATAATAAATATTCTGCATAAGTACAGCATTCCATTTTAGTTTCCATGGATTCTTACGCAGCCATCGCAGCGATAATACGCATGCACGGTTCAGTGCAAGCTTGTTAAAGACATTTTTCAGGCAAAACCTAATTTGCTGTCATTACCTAATCTCAGGGCTGGGAGGGGGTCTCTCAGGGTCTAGGAATGATCTGAAAAACATTTGTACAAACTGACTTTCTGTATGGCTTGTGAACATTAAAATCTCAGTCTTCAAGAACAGAACTTAAATCCATTAACAAAACAGTGTATGACTGGACACCCCTGTCACCAGCAACAGACAATTTGTATCATATGGTCCTTTTAGTGAACATTTCAAATTCCTACTTATAACTACTTGAGGTCCTAAAGCTGGCCTTGTACTAAATAAAGCTCCTGAATTTTCAGAGACATTGCTCACCTTCTTTCAAACGGGACCTGCTGTCCTTCTTTATGACTAGCTGTCTTCTTTACCTTTCAATGCAAGGCCAAAGTCAGACACTTGACCTATTCTGGAGGAAATCTGGACATCTGTAACATTCTCATAAATACTTGGGTAAATCTCAGCTTGTCTTTTCAGGGGAAAAAACCCTCAAACACTAATTTACCTGCTGTTTAAAACACTGAAAAAGTTCAGTTTAAACTATACAGAGTGATAATCGCTCAGCAACTCCCACTTAACTGTCCATTTACATAACTACAGGGTAAGGCCAAGTTGTAAGATGCATGGGTTGAGACAAGAGTAGATGTGTGACTGTTACAGCTTTCAAACTGGAACTCTATTGCATTTTCTCATGAAGAGTCTTACTTTCACCAAAGAAAAAAAAGAATAAAGGATTTTCCAGAAAAAGAGCTAAGCGAGATAGAAACAAGAGTTCAAGGGAACACTGAACAGAGCACGGCTTGCAGAGCTGCCTTCAAGTTGCAACTGCCAGAAAATGGTCGTGCTATATGGCTCTTACAGGAGGGCCAACTGAAGGCCACGCTAGTTACATATTTCTCCAAATAAGTAACTTGCAAGCTTCAGCTCCTTGCATTTTTACAGCTACATCCTACAATATTTCAGCAAGACATTCAGATGGTGTAGTAGCACACTGGAGGAAGAATACGCAATTCCACCCTCATTAGCAGTATGTTCACTGTAGTATTTTTAAATACTCTCATGGATCTCATTCAATCTCTGTTTCAAAAACCAGCCTGCCAAATACATGCATCTATAACTGCTGAATGAGTTCTAAACAATACATTTAAAGAGAGGTTGTAGTAAATTTAAGGGATGTGTCAAAAACTCTAAAGTTTTTTAAAAAATGGATGTTGATTTCTTACCATCATGAGACTTACCTGTGGACTTAATACCACATGAAACTGTGTCATTGTATGGAGGGAGCTGCATAAAAAAGAATTGAAAACTTATTTAAAGAAATCAACTCTATTAACATTTTTATCAGTTTAACTTGAAACATCTGAACCCTTAAAAATAACAGAATTAAGGTTTGATTTTCTAAGAGTATGTCTTGAACTCACACTTCTATATTTATCAAATCCCACAATGTAGTTCAAGTGTCCTTGCAGATTACCACAGTTACTGAAAGATAAAGATTATCTTGGTTACACACCAGAGGCTTATCAACTTCTCAAACAATTCACCTCACAGCATCGGGATCTTTCTCCATCAACAGTAACTCACCATGATTTTAAGATGAAGAACATTTTTAGACAGAAACTGAAGATAGACCAAATCACCTGTGAAAGGATGAAACAGTTTTGCACAGACAACAGCGACACCTAAGCCTTGACTCTCTGCCCTTGACATGTTTCAGCTATGGTGTATTATTAATTCCATTTAACAAAAATTGTTTATCATCAGCCTAAGCATAATGTAACTACAGCATATAGTTTCCATCTGATTGTAAATCTGAGTGGCCTGATTTTATGGACTCAGTGCTTGATAGAATCCTTGCTATTGTGTAACCACAGGTGGGCAACTTCTAATTCCCTCTCTCAGCCCTTGAAATCCCCCAGCAGCTGAAAGCCTTCTCCTGTGCCTGCATGAGCTCGTAGCCGTTGCTGCCCTGCAGTCCAGTAGCAGCCGGGAGAACAGCTGAACTGCTTCTGCAGTGGGAAAGAAAACTTTGAGAGTATAGCATAGTTTTATGCTATTCTAAGTATTACTTATAATTTTTTAACAAATATCAAAGACTTCTCCATTGAAGTCTTCAGTGTTCTAAAGCTACAGATGCTTACATGTTGCCTTCTTAAAACACTGTAGACAACAGTGCATTGAAAGCAGTAAGAGAAATATTAATAAAATTCCATTATAAAAAAGTGCATAAAAAGAACACATATTGTAAAATCTGGCTATAAACTAAAATACATGTTAATACATCAACCTTCCATGTCAAAGATGAGAATCAACTGGTCAGAAAGAGGGTCCAAGCTGTTAAGAAACTATTATCCGTATCAATTTTGAACACAGATTCAATATAACTTTATAGTTAGAGCTAAGAAAGTTACTGACAGTCTACAGTCAACAGCTGACAATAAAACTTGCAGTTCTTGGTTTTCTCCAATGTAAAGGGCTTAAGAAAATACAATAAAAAGTAAACAATAAGAATAGAAAACAAGTAGTCCACCAATCTGACCCCTACAAATCAGGTGAATCAACATTTGCGAAGCTGAGATTTCTGAGCTGACCTGTTTTGTACAGCTGGGTCATCTGAATCATGTCAAGTCAGGTTTCAGACAGAACATGTATTCGAAATACCATGTAAAAAGAGACATTTTAGACAACGTTTAGCTTTAACTAGACTCTTGCCTCAGTCCGCCTTCAGTCTATAGGTAAGGGACTTCAGAAGGACACAAGCATCAACAGATGCTGGGACTCCCAGAACTGGCACTGCCACAACAGAATGTATGTCAAACACCATTGCACTATTATGTCAGTCCTGTCCTTCTTGAATTTCACCCTATTTTTTTCAGACCACTTTTCTATGAAGTATCTGTACAGTGTAAAACTAATAAGCATAATTTTTTTTCATCATCCAGATAATTAAAACATTGAACTGAACCAGATCAAGGACGAACTTAAGGAACATCGTTCAACACAGTTTTTGATTTTGACAGCTAACCAGTAAGTGGTACACTTGACACAGTTACAAAATGAAGCAAGATTGGTTCTAATGCTGTAGATTCATGTTTCAACACACTTTATGAGAAAAGCTTTATAGAAGTCAAGATATGACATTTTTATCTTCCACAATGCATCAGAATAGCTGATGTAGGGACACTTAAGGTGACACAGCATAAGATGCACATGTCACACTGCTGCTACTGTATTTAGTGGTGGAAAAACTGCAATATCATCAAAAGAAACATGTATTAACTGAAGATCAGTTCTGCATCAATTCCCACCTACCAAAGAAGATACAAAGCTATCCCCAAAGGGAAGCAGAAGACATGTTTCTCTTTCCAAACTTCCTGTTCCTCTCACCCCACCTGCTTCATGCACTTTTATTGTTCAGTGGTACACTACACTAATTATATTTGGAAAATGAAGTTACAAGAAATTAAGTTGCATGAAGAGTGGTCGTCAGATCTGTAAAATGCGACAAAACGATTTCCTCATCTACGGGTAAGTGTTCATATCCTTTACGTTGAGGGGGGGAAGACAAATTCATGATTGATATGTTTGAATGGAAATATCTGGAGGAAAAACATGGAAATTGACCAAGAGGAAAATGATTTTTCATGTCTGGAGATTCACTCTCTTCCAAGAACTACAGATAATAAAGAGTCTACAATACTATCTGTAGTCTGTTATGAACTCAAACACACACAGACAACTACTTCCACTCTTGTGGTTCTGCCACTGTAATTAAGTTCATTATTGACCCACTGCTTGTTTCTCAGACCTCAGGCACAGCCCTCCTTGAAAGCACAATCTGGATGATTAACACTGCTCCACCTGTCAAAAAACACTATAAATCCTTTTGCTTCAAAAGGCTTACAAGTAAGACTCAGAAGCCCACATTACTTACAACCAAGAATAACAGGAAAGCTAAGAGAATGATAAAAAAAGAAAATTGTATTGTTACACTTCAAATACACCGGAAGTGATGTACCTTTAAAATGTTATTTCTAAATTAAGTTTAAAGTAGATCTTACCTCAACAGAGCATCGTGGAGTCACAAAGAACTGATTAAATTCATCAGGGCTGAACTCCCCAAAAATATACTAAAAATGAAAAAGAAGGAACTTTGTTAAAGAAGGATTTATGGTAACTTTTATTAAGTTAGTAAAATTAATGGTACATTTTATTAACATAGTAGCACTCAAAAAGATCTGTGTGTTGGGATCCAGAAAGTCATCATTTGCATGCCAACTCTGATCTTCATTCCTTCCCAAGTCTTTAGCCAAGTAATTTAAGCTCTAAAACTGTATACAATGCATTTTCCTGCAAGCTCCCACTAGAGGTAACTGCAGCTCAACCTGGGACCAGTTTTAAACCAACATGTTGGGTGAGAAGCCACATCAGATCATTTAAGCCCTAGACACAACCTACTCTACCTTCCAAAGCAACTGTTACCTACCCTTCACAACAGAAAAAACAAGAATCACCTTCCCAGAGTTCTACTAAACTAAGTTATGGAAAACTAATGGTACTCCTACCCAAGTGCACAAGCACAGAACCTACACTGCCTGGGTGCAGAAAAACACACAGGATCTAAATATCAACGCTGAGTTGTTCTTACTAATTTTGCTACTTTTGTGCCTGAAAATCTGCATAACAAACCTGAGATGAAATATCTTTTCACAGCATTATCTTCCTGCACCCTTTTAGATATTTTGCATATTTGATTCAATGGAAAATGCATCTTGGATTCAATGGTAAGTACCTAACAAGACCACAAAAAACCACAGTAAAATGAAAGCTTGTATTTAGTTTACAGAAAATTATACATTCCCGATAAAAAGGCCTGACATTATAGCATTTCATAGCACCTGGACGCTTCTATATAGTTCCACCACCAGCTGTCATTAGCTGAGTGGATGTAACTGAACACTAAGGACAACAAAGACACTGGGAAAGAAGGAAACTGAACAAGAAGTTGAATAAACTGAGAAAACAGACAAGAGGACTGGAGAATACAACTAGTAACATATTCTTGCATGTGGAAGGATATTCACCTTAATGATCGCTAGCCACAAATACTACAGATAAAAGCAGTTTGGTTCAGCACACCTTACAGCTTACCAACCTCATTCATCTTCAGCGTACTCTGATGATAATTTAAGACAATTCTCTGCTATCCTCCAGCCTTCTATCAGAAAACCACGGCAGACACCAGGCTTTTCATCAGTGTCAAGTCGTGCTCATGGTAAATCCTTAGCTTGGCTGTATCAGGATACAACTAGCTAAATTAGGAGGTGAACCATAAAAAAAGTTCTCAACATTTGGAAAAGCATCTCTAGTGAAGCACTGGCTGTTTCCACAATCTGTAGATATAGTAATTCAATCACAGTGGATTTTTTTAGACTTTAGGTAGTTTATTCCAATAAAACAAACACACTTGCTGTTTGTGTGGCTCACAGACAGCTACATTCATAAATTTCAAAGCTTAAGTTTAGGCTAAATTCCACAGCAATTACAAATTACAGTTTTCTTTCACAAAAAGTTATGTATACATATCACTTATGTGTGGAAAGAGCTTAGCCATTTTAATGCCCTTTGGCGTTTTTAAACAAATATTATTATAATCTACTTTAGTCAACAAACAATTCTAATAGTCAAAACAATGTGAACATCTGTGATACAAATGTCTGAAGCACAGTGGAACAGCTAATGATTTAATAACCTTCACATAAACAACTGCTAACTACCTACAGAGACAGTACAGCATCTGACAAAATCTAATACTTGGAAAAATAAAACAATCACTCACTTAAATTATTTACACAATTTCTAGATAAACTAATCACTATCAGCATTCATTTGCCCCACACTCTGTAAATAACATTTAAAATACAAAGCAGAGCTACACTAGCATGTTAAAACTTTGCCAAAGCCACTTCAGACTACTTCAATTCCAGTTTTAGTATTTTCAGGTGTGCATTTGCGTAAGAAACAGACATACCCATTAGGACTACATCAAATTGATGCCTTTAAATGCCCAACCCTAATCCCAAACACTATCACACTCTAAACTGGTGCATACATCATTGTACTTCAAGGACCCAATCAAGGATAACAGATAGGGACTTCACCACACAAGGTCCGAGGGAAAAGCAGGTTTCAGATACAGGCAAGAGATTGTGATTTGCTCAGAGTTAAGATGCTTGTCATCCCAACCATGACCCACCTGTCAGTGCATCTGCAGCCTCTCACTGAACTGTACCTGTACAGTTATCTGAGCAAAGGCTGAGCTCAATCCCTATGACAATGCACATGGACGGACAGACAGCTGAAATGGCCCAGCTAGTAACATCCATGCATAACACCATGAATAAAACAGCAAGTATGTATGGCAACATGCAAACCCAAAAGAGTAGCAAATATGAACATGAAAAGTTGAATCTTACTTACTCCAAGCTCTAAAATTTAACCACAAAAAAAATAAGCTTTCTCCAAGTAAAAATATTTAGTGTTCATTTACATATTTTAAAAATTACTTTTTGTTTATGTCCTCAGACAAATAAGAGCACCTGCTTGAAAAGCATGCTCAACAGCAGTCAACACTTCAAGTGACAACTCACAAGATAGCGCAGGAATGATGCGTAGGAGAGTCTAGTCTCACATTGACACTGGATTTGGAAGAAAAACTCTTAAGAGAACAGTGGGGGAACGTTTTGAAATTTCCAACTGTAACATTACCCCTGGACTTACTTTTAAAGATAAATACTCCCTAAGAGGCTTAATTCAGAGTCAGATCTGATCTCCCTCTCCTTCTCAAACAGCCTCTGCAACTTACATAGAATTCTTCTGCTCCAGCTCCTGGGAAGGAATCCTCTCTCCCTTTTTCAGGAGCACAGATAGCACACTGCATTTCTCCTGCTACTCTCTGCAGTGCCATCATTAACCTTGCATTAAGTGTGTTCAAGGATTCCTCAAGATACCTCAGTCTGGTGAGCTTGATTTCTGCCACAGATTAAGATCAATGCCAAAACAGTATCATACAAATTGCAAAGATCTTCTACTTGCAGCTGTATAGGATTCCTCAAGATACCTCAGTCTGGTGAGCTCGATTTCTGTCACAGATTAAGATCAATGCCAAAACACTATCATACAAATTGCAAAGATCTTCCACTTGCAGCTGTATGACAAAAACAGACGGAAAATAAGCCTCCTCTGAGGGGAAAGAGCAGTGGAGAGGACAAGACTTTGTGGAATTCTAGGGGCAAGGGGGGGAATCTACCTCCACTACCTTTCCACTTTCTCCAGTGTTTCCAAACCTCTCCTCTAAAACAGAAAAACAAAATAGTAAACCCAAAACATACTGATGGATCTATTGCATTTTGCAGCTCACGATTGTAACCCAGTTTGTCCATCAATCAGAGATGCACACTAACATGTAACAACATAACAAAAACCCTTTCTTATACTGCACAATCAGAAATTCGTGGGTTTTTTCCATCTAGTATCTCTCACACTGACTTTTAACAATCACTTTAATGCAAAAATTATTCAGAAGGGTGGTTTGCACCCTGAACCTTGGGGAGTTTTCAAATGTGGATGTCTTCTTTTAGACACTCACATCTATGAATCCAAGGATGAAAATGAAAGTAAACAATACTTGAATAAACCTTAAAAAGGAGAGAGTATTAGGCAGGAGAGTACACAATATACACAACATCTCTCCTTTCAGATGCTGACACTAACAACAACAACTAGCACAAAACAAAAGAAACAAAAAGACAAAATTAAACATACTTTGTGAATTCTAAAATGGTATCTCTTAAAAAACACCCAACATACTCGTGTTAAATAACTCTTCTAGAGCAACCTCCCAAACTTTCCTGATTGTCAGTTGCTGCTGTTTGCAGTCTCAACAAAACCAGAAGCACTTTCTAAGCTAATCTGTTATATTATTACAATAGTAGAACATACACCTGCCCTCCAGCAGACTTTACAGCACCTTGAACAAAGTATTTAATCAATGACATAATATTTACATCTTTCAGATAATAACTGAATCTAGATTATAACACAAATTACATAAAACCAATTAACCACATAAATCTAAACAATAAATATTTTCTACCACACGTGAATCAAAGTAAGAGTCCTCATAGTTGTGAAATAACTGATTATTTTAACTGAGGCATCTTAACTAGGCAGCAGCAAGAGAACTAATTCCAAAAAGGGGGTTAAAAAGTTCTCCAAAGACCCCAAAGGATTAAAATGCTCGACCTGCAAGCTCTCCCTTGTCAACTGTCTTTGCTGTGCTTTCCTTAACCACTTAAAAACCAAATGCTAATGTTATCCCACTGCCTGTAACAAAATCTCCACTGGTATTCCAGTCTAGCAACACTAACACTCTCCTGGAGGAATACAAGGAGAAGGAGTACGTGTTACACAGCTGCTTGTCCTAAAAAAATGGGTAGAAATAGCACTGCTGATGCATCATCATCTTGGCATCACCTGTACTACAAGAAAGCTAGGAAAATGAAGTGTCGACTTCTGCTTTCAAGAAGCATTAACGTGGCTTTCATCTAATAACCAACAGCTTCAGATCTTCAGTCAAATTAATTTAAGCTGCAAATACTCCCACTTCAACTGCTTTTCCACAAACGAGTTAAAAATACAGCTTTTACTTACCAGTGGCAAGGAATAATTCAACTGTATCTAGGCAGAAGGCTTAACAAGTCAAAACTAGTACACATATAAATTAAAATTATGAAACAGTTCATGTGTACCATGAGCTATACAATCTTGCTCACCAAGCAACTCGTACAAAGTGTACTTATTCTTAAGGCTGTCAGGATAGGCTGGACTAGAGGAAGAAAAAGAACCATTTGGACAGAAGTCTGTTTTTTGGCAAGGAAGAAAGGGCACATGCGTACGGTATGACTGCACTTAGGTTTTATTAGCAGAGAAAATGCTCTTAGTCATCCCAGCAAGGGATTTCTCCTTCACCCTTTACTTGTGTCTCACTTTGTCAAGGTTTGTACTTCTTTTTTTCTGTAATGTGTAAGAAAAGATAACCCTCCCTCAGGTTCTCCTTCCTTTTGAGTAGAATTCCACCAATTCTTAGAACACGCATTATTACTGAATTTGATACAACAAGGTTTCCTGAACTTCCAAATCACAAGTAACTTATTGGTAAAATGCTTAAAGAACACAGACAAAATTATGAAACTGAAAAATTGGTTGTTTAGTGGGGTTTTTTTTTTTAGATCTTAATTTGCAAGCAAGAACAACCCATAACCGGGTGCTATGAAGACCACTGGCCATACATTTAGAGTTGCATGACTGTCTAAACAGTAGCACTTTAGGAAAACCCATTTCTAAAATAAATAAAAATCCTATGCTGATCTATCCTCTTTATGGAAAAATAAAGTCCATCTTCATATATAAAAATGTATGGAAATGAAGCTGTACTTCAAGGTGGAACAGTTGCATATTTTGTTGCTTTTAACAGTTGAAAATGCAACAAATCAGGAGTAAACTCAGTACAGCTTACATACAGTCTTTTATCACTAGCCTTCGGCTTAAAACTACAAAATTAACAAATCTACATAGTGCCTGGAGAAAGATCAGAGCTAGGCAAATGTAGGTCAACTAAGCCCATGAGTCAGTGCAACTGCCTGCCTACCATTTAAGCAATCAAAGGCTCAAAAATCCTGTCCATCACCGTGCCTTCCATATTTATTTTTTTTCCAATTCACAACTTCTTGGATACTATTACATAATTCTTACAGCTGAAGAAAGTCAGGCATGTTCCACACATTTTACATTAATTAATCTGAGGGGAATTTATTCCATTATGGAAAAAAAGGAACGATCATTATCAGAAGTTGTTTCTCTGACCAGAGGAAAAACCAGATCACCAGCTAGTGGGAAAGCACAAGCTGGTGAAGTATCAGTTGTGACCACAGTGTTACTGGTAGGACAGGTTTAATGAACAAAGGGCCCCTCAGAGCCTGACACTATCATGGGGGCACAACGTGGATCAGGACAGTTTATCCTGAAGATTGTAATTCAAAGATTCACAAAGGCAGTGCTTGTTGTGCTCTTTCATTATTCTTTCATCAATTACATACAGAACTTCAATAAGAGCAACACAAGGTACAATAACCATATGAAAACCTGCCAAAGCGCCAATTTCTTCCACCCAAACAAATTCTGTTTATGTACTCTCTTCCTTCTATTACCCAAAATGAGGTGCCTGTTGGCATCCCTCCATTTCAAACAAACAGCAGCTGCCACAAAGTGCAACTAGCCCAAGGAAGGTGCCAAAAACGTGCTGACTTTAGGTATTAAGGGGGATGGAACTGAGTGGAAGAATAAAAAAAACAACCATCTTGCACAGACACCCCCACATTTCTGGGTGCAGCCACCTCCCCCTTCTGCTCTCTTCTGGGCTTCCAAGCAGGACTGCCCCTGCAAAAAAATTCTGCTGCTTCACATCTGAAGTTTTCCCCAACTGATAAGTTTCTTCTGTTCCACAAAACAGAAAAAAATCAAAACCAGCCACCATTTAATTATGAAAAGAATAATAATATTAAGAGGGCAATGCACCTGTATCACTTATATTTGACCATAAAGCAATGGCCCAGTGACAGGAGGATTATATCTACATTTTATATACCTTTTAATTTGAATCCGAGGAGACAGCATCAGGTATTCTTGCTTTACTGTTTTTTACACAGTAGAAAATGTCTTCCTTGGACCTTTTGCTGGCACTCAAGTACATAGTCATGTGTTATAAAACAAGTGCTGCAGTGGAGTCATTTTGGGACTACAGCAGGAATACCTGGACAGTATATTCCAGACAGCAAGCAAGAAGGAAGACAACAACTGAATTGTCAGGGCTGGTTATATCAAATCTCAGTTCTCTGGAGAGCAAAAGATGAAATTTCTGACAACTTTACACCAGTGGCTCCACCACTACAAGTCTACAGAACATCTGCCAGTGATCCAGATAAGTAACATTTTCCAACCTATTTTCTTGCAATGTTAAACCAAACTAAAAGCAAAGTATTAAATTCTCCAAGCAGACAGTCATTGCAAATAAAAGGGGCAAATAAATCCTACGTCAGTTTTGAGCTCAAGAACATTGGTCAATAAGACACCTATTGCTAAGCTTCTATTATCTTCACACCCTTGAACAGTTTGAAAACACTGGTTTCAAGCTGGTTGCTCATAATTGAGCAAATACATTTACTTCAAGCTCTGTAAGCTCTGCCTGCACTGAACTAGTTACTGAGTCTAATGTGCAAATTATAAACTCTAACGAAGATCAAAATAATGATGACTGAATTATTCTGATTTACTATAGCATGATAAGCACTGAGGAGAGAGAAGTTATAGCATTAAGTTATTCAAGAACACAGCCAGTTTAACTACTATTTTATTATAGGTGGGGCAGGCAAAACAATCTCTTACTAATTTTATCTAATACTTCCCAGCAAAAAAACTTTGGTATTAGTCATTTTTCCCTGCCAGACTAAAATCGTTAAGGCTGCAACCTTTTGTGCCAAATACCTACAGCAGAACCAACTTCTAAACAAACGGTAGTAAAATCAGTTCTGCATCTTAGTCACATTAATTAGGAAATTGTCTTTGAACACCTCACAGCAGTCCACCCAAATTCCAGACATGCCGTATAAATCAGCATTTTTCTGAGGTTTACAAAATAATTATTTAGAAGGTATTCTAGCAAGTAAGACTTTGAGGATTATTTTCCATGAGCTCCTCTCACAGTTTCTCCAGGTGGAAGAACAGCACATGTACTATCTGTTCTACCATCCACATTGCTTTTGAGAAGCCAGTACATTCCTACCCCAGCAAGGCAGGATGTTCGGGGCTACCAGAACAAAGACAGGCTTTCCCTGTAATGGCTTCCAGCTA